GGGCCCGGAGCTTGGACGAGGGGAGAGACGGAGCAGTGGCTCCCGGCCGGGCCAGCTCCGCGACGCCGCCGCCGCCGCCGCCGCCGAGTGAGTCGGGACCCGCGCCCGGGAGTCCGCGGCGCTGCGCGCTGGGGTGGGGCGGCACGGGGCGCGGAAAAGTTGGGAGAACTGCGGGGGCCGCGAGGACGCGGCTCGGCGGACAGGGCCTGGCGGGGCCGGGAGCGGGCCGTGGAGGGGAGCGGGGCGCGGGCGCACAGGCTCGGGCGGCCGGGCGCTCGGCGCCGCCGCTGGCTCAGGGGGCCTCTGCCCAGCGCGCTCATGGCGGCGGGCCTGGCGGAGGGCGGGCCGGAGCGCCTCGCGGGAGCGGCCGGGCCCCCAGCGCCGCCGGAGGGCAGGCTGGCCGGGCGCCCGGGCGTCCTCGAGCGCGCCGCCCGGAGCCCGGAGGAGTCCTCTTGGGCAACAGGTAGGAGCTGGGAGTCCTCTAGGAGCTGGGGACGCGGGGCTGCCCACGGACGGACCCCCCGGCGCCCTTTTGTTGGGAAGGAGAAAGTCCGGTGAGCACTTGCACGGGAGCCCCCTGGCTGGCCGAGAGCCCGCGGCGCGGCCCCTGGCTCGGGGATCCCGTGTCTAGAGTGAGAGGAGAGTGAAGGGTCTTGCTTTTTCTAATCGGTTCACTGTGCCCACTCCCGGAGGGAGGTCAGAGCGTCCATGTGCTTAACGGGAAACAGGAAGGAGTGGCTCAGAGTGTTTGCCCCTGGCCCCCGTGGCTAAGGCTCTTATACCGTTATGGGGTGTGTGGGGCAGGGGTAGGGGGAGCTGCTGGTGGAACTGGTTTTCTGGGCCTCACCTTGCTAATTTCTGGCCCGGAGGCTCTCTGGCAAGTAGGTTAATTGCACGTGTGTGGTGTTAATCTTTGGCCTGAGTTTAGAAGTTCACTTCCTAAGGTAGACTCTTGGTGTCAAAATCTGATCCTTCACCTGAGTTGCCAGGTACAGGAGATAGGGGGTTCTGAGGACCCTGAGGAATGGAGTGAGCCTCCCTTTCCGGAGAAGTGGATCAGGAAAGGCCTCCAGCAGGCAGTCGCTCCCACATGTGTGTTAGCAGAGGTTGCAGCCCCATAGCAGAGTCCAGGTGGCTGGGCCTAATGTGGTGGCTGACTGGGCTTGTGATGGGGCCCCTAAGGGTAAGGACTTGTCTGCAGCCTCCTGCCTCAGGGCCTGACCCTAATCACACAGTGACCTGCACAAACCCTGTTTTGAAGAGAGAGAGTTCCTTGTCTTCCTTGGTACCCCACAATCCACTCCCTTCCATCGGGCCTCTGGCCAGCTCTCCCCCTGGGAGGGAGGGCCTCCACTTTCCCCCACCCCGGCACCGGCCACAGGCTGGCCAATCCTTCACTGTGCTTTTAGCATGCCCCCCACTCCCATCCCCATCTACTTATTGAACTTGCCAGTCATTCCCTCCCCCTACGGGCTGTAGTCTCATGCAATCTTTGGCTGTGTTGGGGCCGTAGAAAAACTGAAATTTTGAGGTGCGGAGAGATGACATACCTCTTCTCGGCTTCATCCATTACTCGCGGCTTTCTAGTTTGTGACCTGGTGTAGCTGCCTGAAAACGTTTTCAACAAGGTGGACTATTCAGGTCCTCTTCCACGTCTTTCCACTTCTTTTTTGTAGTCCATCAGGCTCCAGTGAAAGCTGGGAGCCTCTGGGATATTTGTCACTCTCTCTTCCCTTACTGATCGTATTGTATGTTCTTCAATTATTTCTCCAAACTCTGAGAGCCTTGAGTCTGTGAGATCTGTTCCTCATAGCCTCAAACTTCAGCCCTCTTAGCAGCCTCGGTCTACAAGTCCCCCTGGGGACTCTCTGCCCCTTTTCATCTGTCTGAGGGTCTGGGACAGGTCAGTCAGAGTTGGAGCAAAAGCTAGCAGCTGGGTGGAGCTCTGTTCAGGTTCCTGGTAACCTGATGCCCACGGAATCCCTGCTTCACTGGCCGTTCTGCAGCCTGTGCCTCATAGAGTGGTGTCTGTGTCTCTGAGGCAGGTGTATTTGTGCGTGAGAGAGACAGACACATGCACACACCCCACTGTCTCTTCATGTGTGTGTGGGAGCAAATCGTTTGAGTGAAAAAGCACCGATAGGTGTGATTTTCCTCACCAGGAAATTAAGTAAGTGACCCAGAAGAGCAAGGGTGTCTCCCCGCCGTGAAGGCGCGTCCCCTTTCCTGACCCGCCTTTTCGTCTGTGGGGTCCACTGCTTGGCTTGATGTGCCAGGGACGCCACTAGGAGTGGACTGGTTTGTTCCGTGGGGATGGGTATCTGCAGCCGGCGGGCCTGGCCCGGGAGCCCCGGTTGTCTTCCCTTCCCCGTCACATGGAGTCCGAAGTCCTGACCCTGCTGAATCTGGTGCCTCTTCCTGCTGGGCTAGGTCCCAGGGGGTGAGGGCAGGGTTGAGGCCACCATTCCTCTGCTAATGGAAGTGCTGGGCAGTAGGGGAGGGCTGTGGTCACAGAAAGCCTGAAACCCGGGTGTGAGAGAGGCCCCACTCAGAACTCCCGACACATCACACTCTTTGCTCACTCCGTCTTCTGTTCTCCCTGCTTGGAGCAGGCAGGGGCCAGGTGCTATCTTGTCCTAGGGTTGAGATAGTTGCACTGTCCAGGCGCTTGCCTTTGACCCATCTCTGACTTTTTGCCTGCTTCTGCAGCTCCTCACCTTTGTAAGCATGAGGCATTCCTGGGCTCCCGGGAGTCACAGAGAGGGATTCTACTCTTAGCCTCCAGGATCCCAGCCAGCCCTCTGAATCTTTAATCCTCAAAATATCTGTGACAAAAGAAACTTACCTGCCGGTTTCCACTGACCAGGGTAGGAATGGGGCCCAATGTCTAGGCCCGACAGTACCCTTGGCTTTAGTCCTCAATGGAGGACAAATTGGGCTCCAAGGGACTGGCAGTCAGGTGACTGAGTCAGGTCTGTTTCTTCACCTCCAATCAGACTAAGCGAAGAAGGTGGCAAGAGGAGCCGGAGGTGTGCCACCACATGTAGGCTCTCTGCCTTGTCTCTTCTCTACTAAATTTTCTACAACTTCTCTCAAAGAAAAAAGTGTGTCTGTGTGCACTGTCGTCTGGGGAGAGTTCTACTGTGATAACTGTGTTTAGTTTTGTTCAGTTCCAAAGGCTTCCATCTCTTTAACTAATTAAATATTTATTCTGGCCAAGGTGGAGAGGGAAGGGGCAGTGTCCTCAGGAGCTGAGGCCTGGAATGTGTGTGTGTGTGTGTGTATGTACATATGTGTGTACGTTCGTGTGCTCTTGGGGGCGGGTGGAGCTGAAACTGCTTTACTGTCAGGGCTGCCCTCTGCTTTCATCTGAAAGAGCAGTGACCAGGAGTGGGGACAAGAGGGTAAAGTCCTTGAGCTGAAATACTGACCCGTGACAGGCTGAGAGGGATTTCGCAAGTGCTTCTGTGGTGGGTGGGGGCGGAGCTGTTGGAGAAGCAGCCCAGCTCAGCTGTGATATGATCAGCCTTCAGCAAGGCACCAGTTGGTCTCCAGTTCACAGCAGAGAACAATCTCCCAGCTCTCGTTCCTCCGCAGCTGGGAGGGGACCACCTTCCTTCTGTGTCAGCTTTTAGTCTCAAGGCCAGCCTGGAGACCGCCCACCTGGCCTCCCTCCTGGGAGGATGAGGGCTTGGTAGCCTGGAAACTTTGCTTGTCATCCTACTGGGTTCACTGCTGAGTCCTAGGACTGCCGATTGTTGTGTGGACCAGCATCGCTGATTCTACAGGATCATCTCGCTGCTTCTCTCAGCTCCAAGCAGCTGCTGTCCCTGCGTGAGCATCAGATCGTACCCTCCTTCATTCGGGTATCCAAGTGGTCACCACCACCCTGCAGATCCTTTCTCTTTCCGTGGACAAAACAGGGGAGGGAGGTGGTACAAAACAGCAGCTCTTTGCTGAGCACTGAGGGTATTTGTGATCGGTGTTCCCTGAGAAGACTAGTATTGTATTTTCTAGAGGAGCCTTAATACAAAATAGCTCCTAATTCTACCAGATGTCTTAATCTTCTGTATCGACTCTCTATCCTCCAACCCCGGACTCCCTGCAGCCTTGTCTTCATTTGTTTCTGAGAATAGGCTTCACATACAATTCTTCTGCCTTATGTTTGGGAATGGATGGCTTGGGCATGGGCTGTTAAGCTTGTGTGCAATATTTTGATGCCCATTGATTGTCCTTGAGCTCAGCACTATTTGGGGGCATAATTTTGGTTTATTCTGGCCTCTTAATTTTCCCTAGGACCTGCTGCCCCAGTGGGTTATAGGGAAGGGGGAGGAACGTCTTGCCCCAGCCCTGCAACCCTTTCTTGGGCTCCCTGGCAAGGAAGCTTCCAGTAATGGGTTGATTGGGGAGCTCTGGTGGTTCAGATGGTAAAGAATCTGCCTGCAGTGCAGGAGACCTGGGTTTGATCCCTGCATCAGGAAGATCCCCTGGAGAAGGGATGGCTACCCACTCCTGTATTCTTACCTGGGGAGTTCCATGGACAGAGAAACCTGGCGGGCTACAGTCCATAAAGTTACAGAGAGTCGAATATGACTGAGTGACTAACACTTGGGAGCTCTAGGAAGAGGTTGGAGGGTGGGAGGAAGGGAGGATGACTCTGACTTAAGATTTTTGGCCGCGGGCTTCTAGGGCTAGATCCTGTCTAGTTTCCATGTGAGAATAGCAAAATGATAGGGAGACCCCAAGGTTCTTGAATCTAGGGAATCAGAACTTCTAGGGGATGTTAGCATCACCTTTGGTTGATATTAAGAGTAACTGTTAGAACTGGAAAGCCACTATGTTACAGATGGGCACACTGATTTGTCCACATGGCCAAGACCAGAGCCCAGGGCTTAAGTCTTTGCCCCCGCTCTTTTTGTTACACTGTGAAAACTGTCATCTGTCTCTTTTCGCACTGCTGCCTGCTTTGATGCCCTCTGCTTCTCCCTTCCTCACTCAGGATGCTCCAGATCTTACATGACTACTTCTGGTGGGAACGGCTGTGGCTCCCTGTGAACTTAACCTGGGCTGATCTAGAAGACCGAGATGGACGTGTCTACGCCAAAGCCTCCGACCTCTATATCACACTACCCCTGGCCTTGCTCTTCCTCATCATTCGATACTTCTTTGAGCTGTGAGCATACCAGCCTACCCCCATGCCTTCCCTGGCTCCCAGCCGGTTTCTTGTACTTCAAGTTTGTCTCTTGCTGTTTAATTGGTCCTGCACACTGGTGTTCTCACCACCCAGGTCCCTGCCTACTGTGTGCCCCCCACTAAAGGCAGCATTGTCTTTCTGAGGGCTCAGCACCCCCAGGCCCATTCCTTCAATGGTTGTTTGTTCTTGCCTTCCACCCGCCTGGTGGCTAGTGAACACAGGCAGCTTTGTCAGCTATGGGCAGCCCAAGGCAGCCAGAGAGGGAGTTTGCTGGGAAACTGAGGCCCAGGATAAAGTTGCCTGAGCTTGCAGTATCCCCCTCCAGGTCCCCTCGTTTAGGGGCTACCAGGCTTGCTTGCTTCAAGAGAGTCAGACACCGCTCACTCCTATCCCTTCCCCAGTTACGTGGCTACACCACTGGCTGCCCTCCTGAATGTCAAAGAGAAAACCCGGCTGCGGGCACCTCCCAACCCCACTTTGGAGCATTTCTACATGACCTGTGGCAAGCAGCCCAAACAGGTATGAGCTGCAGATCCTGTTCTGGGAGTTACGGAGTCCTGGTAGGGAATGAGGAGTTATGGGGTGAAGAGATGGGAAGGCAGCTCCCCTTCCCTTCAGACAGGGTCGACTTGGGTCATTACTGGCAGAGGGATGGGAAGGGTGAGTGAGGCTGAACATAATGGGCTTCTCACTCCACCCAGGCAGATGTAGAGCTTCTGTCACGGCAGAGCAGGCTCTCTGGCCGCCAGGTAGAGCGCTGGTTCCGCCGCCGTCGTAACCAGGACCGGCCCAGTCTCCTCAAGAAGTTCCGAGAGGCAAGGTAGGGGAAGCTGACGCAAGAGAAACGGTGGCAGAGGAAGGTCTGACGTGTTTTGCTGGGAGGGGTGGGCCACAGCTGTACATGGAGAGAGTATTCCCAGGTGAGGAGGGACAGTGGTTGAATACATCCTTGAGAGGGTATCCAGTGGGAGGGACTTAGGGGTTGGTTGGAGGGCTGTGCCATTCTTCCATTTCACTCTCCTAGCCATTTCTGCTTTCTCTTCCAGCTGGAGATTCACATTTTACCTGATTGCTTTCATTGCTGGCACGGCTGTCATTGTAGACGTGAGTGGGGATTACTGGGCAGGGGTGGGGGTGGGGGAGTAGGTTCTCTGGCAAGGTGGGGTGAGGCCCAGAATTTAGGTGCTTCCTCCTTTAACTTCTCACCATCTCTCTGCAGAAACCCTGGTTCTATGACCTGAGGAAAGTTTGGGAGGGATATCCCATACAGGTACGTGATGGGTCCTGATTCCTTGTATGGGGTAATTAATCCTTATGTGGGGTGAGAATCAGTGGTAGGATAGGATTAGGACATACACATCCTTGTGAAGAGTTGATCTCAGACACGTGGCAGAAGGGACTGCAGTCATAGTCTTAATAGGTGAGGGCTGGGTTTGGAGAGGTGAGACCATTGGGTCCAGTGGCTCTGGGGTCCGTTAACCTTCTTTTCTCTCCCAGAGCATCATCCCTTCCCAGTACTGGTACTACATGATTGAACTGTCTTTCTACTGGTCCTTGCTCTTCAGCATTGCTTCTGATGTCAAGCGAAAGGTGGGTCATGGGGCTGTGCCATTGAGTAGGAGCCAAAATGAAGCCTGGTATGAACCACCTCCCCTTTGACTTCCGGGTGCTTTGGATGAGAGTTGTGGGATAAGTGGAATTAAAGACGAGGGGGAAGAATGGAAGCTAGGGAATGGGAAATAGTCCTCTGGAGGCTGCATCTTTTCTACAGGATTTCAAGGAGCAGATCATCCATCACGTGGCCACCATCATCCTCATTAGTTTCTCCTGGTGTGCTAATTACGTCCGAGCAGGGACTCTTATCATGGCTCTGCATGACTCTTCTGACTACCTGCTAGAGGTCAGGCTTCCTGGGCATTTCTTCAAGCCTAGAGACCCTGGTGCAGGTTCTTCTGTCCCTCTATCCTCTTTTTGGGGTAGTGGTGGGTGGGGGTGGCTGTTCCTGGGACCAAGGAGGTGGGGGCACAGAGCCAGTGTGGTAAGTGGGACATATATATGAATGTATATGGGAGTCAGGAGCCCGTGATGATAGGTGGGGGCTATCTACACAGTCAGCCAAGATGTTTAACTATGCGGGATGGAAAAACACCTGCAACAACATCTTCATCGTCTTCGCCATTGTCTTCATCATCACCCGACTGGTCATCCTGCCCTTCTGGTGAGTAGGTTACCAGGTTAGACTCCTGTTTGAAGAAATCAGGAATCTTCTCCCCAGCCCCGTTTGTCTGTCCTCAAGTCTTGACCCCCTCCTTTCTGTGTTAACAGTTCTTGTCTTTCCCCATCTGAAGGATCCTGTACTGCACGCTGGTGTACCCACTGGAGCTCTATCCCGCCTTTTTTGGCTATTACTTCTTCAATTTCATGATGGGAGTGCTACAGCTGCTGCATGTCTTCTGGGCCTACCTCATTTTGCGCATGGCCCACAAGTTCATAACTGGAAAGGTGATGGTCTGTCCCCATTCTGTAGGCCCTACTACCCTCAACTCTAGGAACAGCCCAAATTCCCTCCCATATCAGCAACCCTCTAAAACCTGTACTGTGGGGCCCTGGGTATTGCTGGAAAAAGCCCACCGAGAGAGGCAGTCCTTGGGGGTTTGTAACCCTGCTCATCCTTTTCACAGGTAGTAGAAGATGAACGCAGTGATCGGGAAGAAACGGAGAGCTCAGAGGGGGAGGAGGCTGCAGCTGGGGGAGGAGCAAAGAACCGGCCCCTGGCCAATGGCCACCCCATCCTCAACAACAACCATCGTAAGAATGACTGAACCATTGTCCCTGCTGCCCCTCAGATTAAAGTATAAAGCCAAGGAAATACCCCACCCTCCCCACAGGGTCACTTTAAGCTCTGGGGAGAAGGAGAAAGCAAGAAGAGTGTGTTCTCTGTGCCCCCACCCCCTGCTTCTGTCACCCAGTTGCCTTTAAACCAAATTCTAATCAGCCTATCTCCAGGAATGGGGAGGTTGGTTATATCCTTTGTTGGGGGAGGGGGGTTGGTCTTATTTTCCAAGTTGTCCTTTCTATTGATTTTGAGACCTTTCCTCAGTTCTGGGGGTGGGAGTTATAATTCACATTCCTTACTCTTCAGAATCTGGCCCTGTCTGCCTGCCTTTGACTCCCTGACCTCCAGAGCCAGGGTCGTGCCTTACTGTCCCACCTGTGGGCCTCATTCTGCCAAAGTTGGACCAAGGCTCACCTTTCTAATCTCCCTAACTTGGACCAGAAACCAAAGCTGAGCTGACTTCTAACTTTTTCCCTTCTAAGATCCAAATGAACCGAGTGTAGGCGGGTGCACATGACCCTTATCCTACCTCTGCCAAAAAGTGGGGGCCACAATGTGGACTGCTCAGACAGTCTTCTGTTACTTCTCTGCCAGCTGTCCCTGTAGTCACAGGTCCAAGATCTTACTGCCTCCTTTCTCTGGCCTCTTTCCTTAGGCTAGCTGGTTTGGAGTAGAATGGCAACTAGTTCTAATTTTTATTTATTAAACATTTGGGGTTTGGGTTTTAAAGCCTGAATTACAGCTAGCACCTGGCATTTCAGCAGAGGGACCACTTCAGACCAAAATGTACTGTTAATGGTTTTTTTAATTAAAATATATTAAAGATTAAGTAAAACATGGCAACAAGTGTTTAGACTCTTAAGAACTAAGAGTGATCAACTAAATAAACTAAGGTAGTCTTCCTCATGCCTTCCTCCTGGTTATATAACATTAAAAAATATTACATGGCAAATAAGAGAAAGCGAAAGTAGAGAAGGGTCAGGACTAATGACAGCTGCCTGTTGGGAAGGATGGGAAACATCTCTCATCAAGACCTAAAACTGGGAGCTGAGGGAAAGAAATCAAATCACAGTCTTAGTTTTAACATCTTGTTAAAAGACTTTCAAGAAACAATACAAACCAGGGATAGTAAAATACACAGCCCTCATTCTAGGAATAAAGTCTGTCAGAAGAATGAACACCTGAACAAATGTAGGATGGGAGGGGTGAGCCACAGGAGGACTGAAGGGATGTCAGGCCCAGGTTAGAGTGGTAACCTCTCCCACTCCCAGTGCCTCCGGAGGCCGGGGAGGGGCCCTGCCTGCTAGCACCACAATGGAAGGGGTCTCCTGATCCAGAACCCCCATTTCTATCTACTAGAAGCTGGGGAGTAGCTAGACTAGAAACTTGGGGGTCAGAATTCAACAGTCAGGAAGACCCAGTTCCTGAGGAAAGGGCAGTTCAGGAAGGTTCAGGAGGTTAGGAGGAAGGTTGTCCTCTAAAGAAGACGCCCTCTGCATTCGATGGCCCCGCAGCAGCACAGCAGCTCCTTGCCTTCCACGCTGCCCACCTCATAGTTGTAGTCCCAGGTAAGCTCTGTGCCAGCTCGGATTCTCCTAAAGAGGAGGCGGAGGAAGGGGTGTGGTCAAACAGCAGAAACCCAGGCCTGTGATGACTGAATGTGCTGGGGGAGCTGGATCACAGATGGAAGAGAGGCCCTTTGAATGTCCTGGCCCCTCCCCAACCTGGGCTTTCCCCACCCACCCATCCCCTTTCCTGATTCCCTCTTACTTGCTGGCAAAGAAGGCCACCCACGGGAAGCGGAGATCGTGAGTATCCACGAAGACATTCTGGACAAACAGGTTGGGGCTGCAACTGTGCTGTAGGTTTAAGTACAGATTCACTTACAAACCAAGGAAACAGAATCTGGTTCTGTGGGGTGAGTGAGAGCTGGATGAAAACAATGCCATTTGATCCTCCCACGGCAACAGAAATTTTGAAAGCCACCTCTTTTAAGATCCTTTGTGATCAAGAATTTATAATGAGAAAAGGTGGGTTTATGTAGTTGCATTTAAAAAAACTAGAAATGTGAGGACTAGGGGATAACCAGCACATACAGGTGAGGAAAAGGGGTCTCACATTGAGGTAGCGGCCCAGGTTGCCTTCAAGCTTGGCATCGATGATGTAGCAAGACTCCTCCCCATCGTAGAACTGGCGTGTGTTCTTACGAACGGGTGCACTCTCCCCCTTTTCCACGGATGCCATGTTGGTTGATTTAATGGCAATCCCATGGGTTGATTTCAAAGCAAAACCCCGGGTTGATTTTACTGCCACTTGGCGCTTCATTGGACCTGGACAAGGAGAAGAATGGGGCTAGAGCCACCCTACCTCATGAGTGGAACTTCTACTTCCTTTTTTTCCTGCTTGCATTTTTATCCCACCCAATGCACCTCAGGAATACCAATAAGCTGGGACTCTGAGGCAAAGGCCCAAGGTGGCAGTTTTTCTCAAGCAGGATTAGAGCTGCTGGATACAGGAGCAAAGGGAAAAAAATAGGGAACTGGAAAGAAGAGAGGGACGGGACATGTCACACATTATTAACAGTTTAGCTGGGAGTCAGGGAGTCTTCCCAGGGATGCTTCAATTCTTAGGATCTGAATTTTCCCCCTACTGGTTCCTTCCTACTACCCCACAAATTCTCCCAGACTACCAGACATGTTCTTCTTGTCCTCAAAGTCATCCCCTTCAGAGCCAGAGGAGATGGTCTGGATATCATCACTGTCCACGGCTGTGGCTGAAGTCTGGCCAGTAGTGGGCTTCCGGCTGGTCCCACTTTCCCCCTCACTTTCTGTGCTGCTGGACAGGGTCAGGATATCCTGAGGAAGCAGAAGGGTGAAAAGACGGAATAAGAGTAAATGGAGAGGGACTTCCCTGGTGGTCCAGTGGCTGGGATTCCACACTCCCAGCAGAGGGGGCCTGGCATGGATCCCTGGTCAGGGAACTGGATCCCACAAACTGCAACTAAAAAAGATTCTCCATGCTGCAAGGAAGATGGAAGATCCCGCATGCAGCAACTGGGACCCAGTGAAGCCAAAAAATATATATGTATAAAAAAACTGAGTAAATGGAAAGGGCCCCTTGGGATCCCTGCTTTTAGGTACAGTTAGGCGGGAAGGGGTTGAGACTATAGTGAGATTAGATGCTGGATGAAGTAAAACGAGGCAGGAAGTCAAGACCAGAGAAATAAGAAAATATCCAACAGCAATTATGGTGATAAGACTTGATGACACGAGAAGAATGTTCCTTTACTCACACTCTAGAGTAAAACAGGAGGCTGGGTAAGGTACAGCTCGAAAAAGGTCACTTACATCAGGGTTTGACTGAGCAGAGGCCATGAGTCGTCGGCTCTGATGCATACTAGTCTTACTTGGTGGGCGGCGAAGTCCTTCAGGCTTCACAGGAGAAGGATTATAACCATAATTTCGAGAGCTTTCAGTAACTCTGATGGGAGGGGAAGACACGAGAGGGTCAGGTTTACTGGCTGTTTCTTAGGCTGCTTTTGTAGGCTCGAGAGGAGGAAGATTTGGAAACAGGTAAAAAAGCAAGGCACTTACATCGATGTCCTGTTTCGGTCATCAGGGTCCTGGAAGACAGAGCGAGTGAATGGCTGAATGTTTCCATGGTTCTAGATAATATATCCAACAACTGTAGACTTCACCTCAGATGACCTCTAAAGATATCAGCCAGCGAGAGGCACACTATCTAAAGTGAGATGTGTGTGGAGAAATTAACTCTCCAACTTGAGAATAATGATCATTTTCATCAGGAAGCCCCACTGGGAGGGGTCTTTGACCCTTCCCAATAACAGGGCATTCCAAAATGTGCATGGCAAACACCCTGGGCAGAATATTCCAAGGACAAGGGACTGTTCACCACCTGTAATGTGGTAAGTTTCAACATCATTAAAAATACGTTAAGATCAATTCTTGTTTTTCTACTATAATGAAAGCAATGATGTAGATAAATTGAGGTGGCAGTTTTAAAAAATTACTTAAATCCTCCACTTTGGAATTAATCAGGTACTTTCCCCACAGCAGGCTGATTCTAAAATAATTTGGTTCTTTAAACAAACATGGGGTCATAAGAATCAGACATGACTTAGCAACTACACCACCATAGGAATGTATTAGGGGGAAGATTGATCAGGTTTGCCATAGAAATCCATCAAATAAATCACTTGCATATGAAGACTCATGGAAAGGGAATTCCTTGGCTGTCTATCCTGTGGTTAGAACTCTGTGCTTCCACTGTAGAGGACACAAGTTTGATCCCTGGTCAAGGAACTAAGTTCCCCAAGCCATGCGGCATGGTCAAAAACAATAACAAAAGCACGCATGGTCTCGTGGTGAGATTGCATTAAGTCTGTCGCCACATCAAACTTATATAACAGCCACAATTCTCAGAGTTCCTGCCACTGCTTACCTCCTTCTTGGCCTGCTTGATGTCTCCCTCATCCTTGAAGCCCAGCCCTGAGGTGGAAGCCTTCTCCGCTTCCCCTCTGCCTCCCCCACCTTCACTAGTCTTGAAGGATGAACGGCTGTCAGAGTCAGCAAAGCCACCTTCACTGACACTGTTGCAGCTCAACCACGAGGCCACTTTGTTCTTAGGTGTCTCTTCAGAGGAAGGTGGATTGCAGCCACCTACAGGGATTGACGGAGGGACAGGAGTATGTGGGGGCCCCAGGTCTGGGGGACGAGAGTCCTTGGAAGACATCTCAGACAGTCCGTTCTCCCTCTGGCCCCGGGTCTGCCGCCGGGTGGCATAGCTGCGCCACACCGCGCTGGTGCTGAAGTCCTCGTCCTTACAGAAGTTGTCATCCGAGCTGTCGTCGTTGGACTCCTCGGGGTCCTCTGTGCCGCTGTTGCCATCTTCCTGGTCCTTCAAGTCTACACCACTGCTGTCAGAGGAACAGGGGGCATCACTCTCATACCCCTCCTTGAAGTTCTCCACGCTTTCAATGTGGTCCAGATTGGCAAAGTACTCATCACCCATTTCTAGGCCCTCCTTGTCAGCAAAGTCATCTGTCAGGATCTTCCCTGGGAATGAAGAGAAAGCCTTCCAGCTTTTAGAAAGAATAAAGTTCATTTCATCAATACCCAGCCCCACAGTAGAGAGTCAAATCACATTCATTGTGGTCTCTTGTTTCTCTTTGATGATACCTCCTCCTTAGTGTCGTAACTGTTGAGAGTAAGGGGAGCTTTAAATCTTGCCCTTTCTGCCACCTGATTCTTCCTAAGTTATGCTAAATCTCTGGGTGGAGTGATGTCTACTACCATGTCTCTCTCTGCTGAAACATGTCCACAATTTCATTCCTTTTCGTTCTTGTTCTCCTGAAGCACTTTTGACCCTTCCTGATCCACCCAGACAGGCATATCACTCATGTTCTTTATAGAAGAAAATCCTGGCTGCTGCCTTCTCCTAGTTCACAGGTTAAGCATTTTATTCTTAAATTCAACTTGTCTCTGATTCAATGTTCCACCATGTTCTCACCCCAGAAAGCAACCCTTTCATCACCAACCTGCATAAATACAGACAAAGGAGCCTTTGGCAATGTCATCCAAGCAACGGATACCCCAGCCCTTGTTCTGGGTCTTGAAAAGCTGCAGACGAACTTGCAGGCCATGCTGTACCAACCGGTTTGTGCACATGTTAGGGTCACACTTGCAGCGTTTGTTACACTCATAAACTCTGGGAGGAGATCACAATAAAATCAATCATAACATGATCACTACAGCATCTGTTACATCCACAGAACTGTTACAATTTTTAAGGTGTCATCATTTATCAGGTAATGATCTAAATAAGCAGACTTACTGAATTGTCTATGCTCTTCGATTTGTTTGGAAATATAGCTCGAAGAAATAACTCAGAAGGGGGAAAAGTGATTAATACAGATATTTATAGCACTAAAGACAGTAACAGTGAATAAAAGAATGCCTAACACCTGGAGAAAAGCTAAGTGAACCAGGATGTGAATATGGATTAAGAGGCAGTAAAATAAATCAGCCTGTAGAAACAGATACAATAAAATATATTTAAGGAAATCAGAAGCCCATATAATACATACTGAAAGGGAGCAAAAGATGAGGAACTGGAAGTTCATGGGACTCTTGCTTTTGGTAAAGTTGATTTTCAGTGAACATTTATTAAACACCAAGAGCTGTACTAGACAGTGGGAACACAGCAATGGAAAAGTCATGATCTCTCCTCTCAGGGAGCTCATTTCTATCTAGTTTAAGGTATTACAACTTAACTATTTAAAAAATAAACTATTAAAGTTAATCAGAGAGTTAGTAAATGTCAACATTAAGGGAAGAGAACACACTGAGAAAACTGTCATATTTTTAGGGAGTATCTTTATGCTCTACTTTGTGTTACGATTTAACTTCTTATTTTCCTGGTACGTAAATTTAAGGAAGACAACTGCTTTTATAAAGATGACAACAGTACAGTCAGTTAGTTGATGACATCAGTAAAATCTCTCTGGGCAAAGGCAACAGCAGCTTCTACTTACCAAGCATATATATTTTGTGTTTGGCATTATGTCAATGCTTTATATACAATTCTCTTATTCTATCCTTACAGCAGCCCTATGAAGGTATTTTTTTAACTTATGAAAACATTAAAGCATAATACACACAGAGAGAAGAATATGTAAAAGTCTATAGCTCAATGATTTTTCACAAACTGAACACACCATGTAACCAATACCACACCAAGAAACAACTTTGTTAGGTCTCTTAAAACTCTACTGGGGTTAGGAAGGTATTAATGTTCATATCCTCTGTTAACTAAAAGAAGATCAGTTTGGAAAGGACAAGGCCAGAATATGAACTCAGGTGTAATCACCAACAAGGGCTTCCCTGGTGGCTCAGTGGTAAAGAACTTACCTGCCAATGTAGGAGATGCGGGTTCAATCCCTAGGTTGGTAAGATCCCTGAAGAAAGAAATGGCAACCCACCCCAGTAATCTTGCCTAGGAAATCCCATAGATGGAGGAGCCTTGTGGGATACAGTCCATAGGGTTGGAAGAGTCAGACAGGACTGAGTGGCTGAACAACTACTAATCACTACCACATGAAACTTTCAGACTAGCCAAACAGAGCGTCATTCATCCCTTCAACAGAATTTAAGTGGTTACCATGTGCTGTGCACTGGGTAAAAATTTGCTGATGATACAATGGTAAGCAAGAGAAACAAGTTCCTGCTCTCATGGAGATTACCTCTTAATGTAATGGAAAGAGACCAAAAACAAGTTAACAAAATGAAAGTTGTCACAGATACAATGAAAGGACAAACCCTGAATGAGAGAATTAAAGGAGTGAAAATGACCGAGTTTTAGAGTGACCAGGAGAGGTCTCTCTGAGGAGGTGAGAGCAAATCTGAGAGTTCAGGTTAAAGAAGATAATCATGCAAACAACAGTGGAAGGATGCCCAGAAGAGGGCACAGTATGTACAAAGGCTCTCGAGGTAGGCTGGCAAACACTGGGTGAACTGGATCCAGGCACTGAAGAGTATCAGTGTGGCTGGAACAGTTTTGGAAGGATAGAGATAGGAAGGGGTCAGATAGTACACTATCCTGTGATCCAAAATTAGGAGTCAGAATAAAATCCAAAGTGCAGTGTAAAGCTCTTAAAGAGTTTGAGCAGGGGAGGAACATATTTGTGGTTATGTGAAAATACTTTTATGAAACATTTCAAACATATAAAAAAGCTATAAGAACACTAACTAGCATTATCAAATCTAAACATTGTTACAGGATTCAATTTTATTACAAGTAAAACATAAATGATACAATGTAGCTAAAGCTAATAGCAGTCTTTTCCTTTGCTTAGGAAATGCTTAATGCACTCAGCTTAAATTTATGTCCTGATTTCTTCTGATGACAGTCAGACACATCAGGCTTTCTATCAAACCCCCTTTCCCAAAAGTTTCTCCTGTAGCCAAGTCTGATGTGTAGAAAACAGTGGCTGTTTTCTATATCTGGTGCACAGCTGTCAGCCTGGAAGCCCCCTTGACTTCACTATCATGTGGGATTCCCCTCACTCTTCTTTGGAATTGGATCCACTATTTCCCGGATCAGTATACGCCTTCCTCTCTCGTCTTTCCCCCTCACTTTAGTAAACATTTCCAGTAATTTTCTGAGAGGGGAAATAATGGAAAAATTTGAGGTATTTCATGTCTAAAAAATGTTAGCCTACTTTAACCCACAACTGATAGTTTTCCTGGGTTTAGAACTCTAAGTTAGGAATAATTTTCCTGCGCTTCCCTGGTGGCTGAGTGGTAAAGAATCTGCCGGGCAATGCAAGAGACACAGGTTTGCTCCCTGATCTGGGAAGATCCCACAGAGCAACTAAGCCCATGCACGACAACTACTGCACCTGTGCTCTAAAGCCCAGGAACGGCCACTAGCCCATGTGCACCAGACATTGTGCTATGCCAACAGGAGAGGCCACCGTGGTTAAGAGGCCTGTGCACTGCAACTAGAGTAGCACCCTCCTTGTCACAACTAGAAAAAAGCCTGTGCAGCAACGAAGACCCAGCACAGCCAAAAATAAACAAATAAAATTATATATATATAAGAGAAAGAATTTTCCTTAGAATTTGGAATAGATTCCTTAATTGCCATCCAGCTATAGACATTATTTTAAGAAGGCTGAAGTCGCTCTGAATTCTTATTTCTTTTGAGATATCTTTCTCTTATGTAGAAAGTTTTATTATTTTCTTTTTGTCCTCAGTGTTCTGTGGATATAATGATCACGTTTTATCACGTGCTTTCGTGGGCCTCTATTTTCATCTGTTATGCTAGAACCTGATTTCACTTTGGAAACGGACCTTTTCATTATGGGGAAACATCTGAATTATTTCACTGATCATTCTTCCCTCTTTGTCCTTTCTGTTAATTATGTATTTCTTACGTACTAGAGTAATTACGTCACATGTGCATATACATCCAGCTTACCACTTTCTATCCCACTCTGTTCACTGTCCTCTTTGCCTTACCTGTCCTTCTCCATCGCACATGCTGATCTCATGTCTCTTCTCAAGTCTCACACCTGTGAGACTGTCCACACAGTCTTACCTCCTCTGTCCAATTTCCAGTTGCAGATCCCAGGACTTACTTCTGGGCACATTCTCTTTTCTATCATCAATGTTCTCTCCAGATGAACGCATTCAAGCTGTAACTACCACTCCTGAGCTGATGATTCCTAATTCTTTATGACAGTCCTTACAGTTCTCTCTAGAAATCTCAATGCCTTCCTGACATTTCCACCTGGGCTGCCTAACAGACACCTCAAACTTAGCGTGGCCAGAGCGGCTGATTTTCACTCAGACTGAACTCTAGCTCTAGTCTTCCATTTTGGTACAAAAACCAACATACACCTAGTCGTTCAAGTGTAAAATTTAGGACTTGTCCTTGATTCTCTTCTCCTTTCCATTCCATAGTCAATCCATCACATTCTGTAGCTCTATCTCCAAGTGCATCCCTGAGCACATGTGCCGCCAACTACGGAAGCTCGTAAGCCCCAGAGCGTATGTCTGCAAACAGGAGAAGTCACGGCGAGAGAAGCCCATGCACCGCAACTGCAGTAGTGCTTCCCCCGCAGCAATGAGAGAAAAGTCTGTGCAGCAAGGTGACTCACTACAGCCAAAAATAAATATATAAAATTATTTTTTAAAACGTCATTTTCCTTAGAATTTTGAATAGATTCCTCAATTGCCATCTAGTGTCTAACATTATTTTGAGAAGGCTGAAGTCACTGTGAATTCATTTCTCTTCTGTGTTATCTATCCTTTCTCATTTCTACTGCCACTTTCATTCTAGGACAAGCCCCAGTAACCACCACTTCTTACACCTGTGTTCCTGAAATTATCTATTGAGCTTCCAAATTCTATTGCTGCTGCCCTAAAGCTTATTTTCACAGAGAAGTCAGAATAGTCCTTAAAAGGTAGACAGCAGTAGTCTGCTTAAAATACTCTTTTTTTTTTCCCTTTCCATTTAAAATACTCTTAACAGCTTCCTATCACATCATGAATTTGGTTCTAATTTTTATTCTGATTTACAAAGTCCTATAAATCAGGCCCCTGACGACTCCTCCTCTCTGAATACGTTTCACTTGCCAGAGTAAACCACAATCTGTTAGAATAATCATACAGCTATGAAACAAGGTCATATTTTACTGCAACAGAAAACTGCTAGATACTATTCAATCATTATATGTATTCATTTAAAAGCTCAAGGAAGAAATATGTGCTACGTATTTGGTAAGGTTTAATTGATAAAATGTCTGTTTCAGTTTTTTTTCTTTTGGCTTCAATTTTACAATGCTGCTGTTTCGTACAAACACAAACAATAATTCAGTCTCTGAGGTGCTAAACTTTCCCCTGACTACTTACCCTGTGGGCAGACACTCTTCTAGTCTCTTGTATTGGTAGCCAGAGTTGGGGTTGATTTGGCCTCCTGGGGTGCAGGCTGTAGCCTGGATAGTGAGCTGATGGCAGGCACACTTGGACCTGTATAAAACAGAAGGGTACAACTACTAGAGCTGGGAGACTTTCTTCAGAGGCAAGAAGTGCTACTAATAAAAGGACGGTGATAAGGTAGTAAAATTTCTTTTTCTTCTCCCATACGTGTAAATGAGGAAGGAAAAGACAGTAGGACTATGACAGAGTAAGAGTAAAATAAAGAGACACAGAACAACAAGTAGCAACTGAAAGCATGATGGAGGGAAGCAAAGGAAACTGAGACTCAGAGAAGAAAACAAACATAAGACACATGCACTGCTGTTCAGCTGCTACGTTGTCTGACGTTTTGTGACCCCATGGACTGCAGCACACCAGGCTTCCCTGTCCTCCACTATTTCTTGGAGTTTGCTCAAGTTTATGTCCAATGAGTCGTGATGCTATCTAAACATGTACCCAGGATTATGCTGTGGGGTTCCAGCCTCTCTGGAGGCCTTACAGAAGGAGCTACAGCTAAGAAAGCAAATCAAGGAAGGTGAGGAAACGATAGTGCAGTGTAAGGCAAAGAAAGTGGTGGAAATAATGGAAATCACAACAAAGTTGGAGGCAGGGCCACAATTCCCTAACCAACTCACTTGTCCCGGCACCCATCTTTGCAGTCACAGCCAACAAGAAATTCAGGGCCTGTGTTAATGAAAACACCCTTGCCCGGGATCCGTTCCTTGCTGTAGGCCACCTGGGGTGGGGGAGTTGTGTCAATCTCGTTAACGCAGGATAGAGGAACGTCTTCCTTTCCATACGTGATGTCCAAAATATAGTAAAAAGGCTTATAGGGCTGAAACTTTCGGTCCACAAGAACATACGGATCCAAACAGAACATCTCCAGGAAGAGGAAGTCACAGCCAGTCTCAAAAAGGTAACGCTCAATCTCCTGCATTGACCGAAGGCAGAGGCCACAGGGTGTCTTATAGATAACATGAAAGCCCATCTTGCGGTTAACTCGGCGCCGGGCTGTCATTCGCCGGAAGTCATAGAGCAGTGGGACTAACAGAGGGTTCTTGCCCCGATACTGCTCACTTCTCATAGGTCTGACCCGAGACAGACAAGTATAGCTGCAGACATGAGGTAAGTAGAAAAGCTTCTCCATGGGAGCGCGGTAGGAGGGCTCTGCAGGGGCCCGATCCAGCATGCCATGGAAGGCTGGGGGAGCTGGGGGAGCTGGGGGTGCTGGGGCCGAGGTTGTGGAGCCTAAAGGTGACCTGCAAATGAGATGCAAGAGATCAGATCAGAAGGAAACAGGACCTCTCTGTTGTATAAGTAGCCCATTAGCTGGCTAAGCCTCTTCTCTAACCTGTCTAATAGCTATTATACTCTTGAAGCTAAAGATGACACAAGTAAGTTAAACTTCCCCTTGCCTTACTGGACAATGAAACACCCTGGTTACTCTTCATTAACTGACAGTAACTGCTTCAACAGTGTGTATTTTCTGAAATTTTATTTTTGCCTGTGAATTATGGGACTAGCATCCAGTCTTCTATCCATGCTAGTTGTTTTCCCTGCTATGTTTCCTATAAACGCCTTTATTGACCCCCAGGGTTCAAGGAAAGAGGCTACCAAGTTCCCTTTCTATTGTACCAATGACGACACCATATTCAACACGGAGTCTTAACATGACTTTCTAGTGATTGTATTTCTAGGCACCTAGTTTCTAATTCAATTAACTTTTTGTTTCCTGGAAAATTCCAAGGTTAAAGCTTTCCTTTCAAGTCCAAACTTCTCACCGTCATAGTCTTAATGAGGCCCCTTGTGGCCAAGGAACCTCCCCCACTCAGTCCACACTGCCAACATTCCCAACCGAGAGCCTGAGATTTTCTCACCTATATGTCTGATTGATCCCAGGTTTCCCACCAGGGGCATTTTCACTGAGTGCAGGGGATGTAGGGGAGGAATGACCAGAGCCCACAGATCCTGGCCGGAAAGATGTGCTTTTTTTGGCTACCTGCTTCCGAGATTGGGCAAGCTGGCTTTCCAAGCTTCTAGGAGATTAGAGATCATACAGTAAGGGATACAGAAAATGTAATATAAAAGAAACTGGTGAAAAAGAAGGAATAGCACTCACTCACTGTCACCTGCCTGGGGGGACAGAGCTGGACCAGGTGGGGCAGGTGGGGCAGCTGGGGCTGTCGGCTGTGGGGGTTCCATAGGCTTGAACTGGGTTCCAGTACTTGTTAGATCCTGAGTGTACTGGACCACGGGGCCTTTGCTTCTCACAGCACCTATAAGAAAAGGAAATTGACCATTGAGAACATAAGAGCTGTGCCATTTATATTCATCCACAGATCTGATTCTCAATTTATATAATAAAGCAACAACAGAAACATTCTAAGTGCTATGACTGTTAGCTCTCATTATTTATGCCAATGAGTGGGAATATTGGCACAGGCTGACTTTCATTTAAATAGTAAGATTTTATCTTCCTGCCTCAGACACTTTACATTAATAATTATTCTATTGCTGCTGTTGTTATTTAACTGCTAAGTCATGTCTGACTCTTTGTGACCTTATGACTGTAGCCCACTAGGCTCCTCTGTCCGTGAGATTTCCCAGGCAAGAATACTGGAGTGGATTGCCATTTCCTCCTCCAGGAGATCTTCCCAACCCAAGGATTGAACCTGTTTCTCCTGCACTGGCAGGTAGATTATTTACCACTGAGCCACCAGGGAAGCCAATTATGTTATACTTTGGTAAAATTTTTCAAAAATACATTCTCTGATCAACTAATATTGTCAAGAAAAATTAACCAAAAAGTAAGCCAGAACATATAAAAACAAAACCAAAATTTTAAAACAAGTTAACCACATGCAGTGCATAAAAATTAAGACTGGAAGGCAGGGGATATGGGTTTGATCCCTGAACTGAGAAGATTTCACATTCCAGAGAGCAACTAAACCTGTGTGCCACAACTACTGAGCCTGTGCTCTAAAACCCGGGAGCCAGAATTACTAAGCCTGCATGTTCTAGGGCCTAGGCTTTGCAATAAGATAAGCCACTGTAATGAGAAGCCTGGACACGGCAATGAGTAGTAGCCCCTGCTAGCTGCAACTAGAGAAAGTCCTTGAGCAATGAAGACCCACCGCAGCAAAAAAAAAAAAAGGCCACAGATAACATACACAAAGCAGATAATCCTCACGTGAATAATGGAGGTAGTTACTACCAACAATACCCCTAACCTAAGCCAGTTGTTTCAGATTTTTATGTGTTTTTGAGAACAAATCAGAGCCATAGCATGTTGAGGCAGCAACACAAATTCATCACCACTACTGGAAACTTAGGAACATTTCCTGTTTTCAATGTGGCAGTAGTGTCATCTGGTAAACAAAGGATACAGCCATCACACACACATCGCTTTGCTGATGTGTCCATTTCTTCCCTCTCCCAGATAGCTTTTAGGACCTACCCATATTTGGACGTGTTCTGAGCTGCCCCCCTTGCTTCTTCTCTAGTGCAGAGGCGGATGAGGTCTTCATGCTGAACATGGGCTCCAGACGTGTAGAGCCTCGATAGATCCATTCACATCTTTTGTCATCCTAGGGGATTGCAAGTAAGGAAAGGTGGCAGAGGATTAGGTTAAAGGCTAGAATCTAACCTGCCACTTTTGAAGAATACCACGTGCCTCCCTTGGGGAAAATCTCCCTGATGAATGCCCAATTCCCTATCTATTCAATAAATTTATGTGCTAGGCTCCACAACAGGCATCAGGAATTAAACAACAACAATAAAACCCCCCAAAACAAAAACACGTATATTCCTTGTTTAAAAAAATGATGAGAAATAGATGTTTACACTGAGTATAAGACATGTAACAAGGATCATTAGGATCAAAGGGCTGAGATAGCTCAGAGAAGAAATATAATTCTAAGGTGTAAGAGGGGAGAAAAGGACAATTACAGAAGATTTTTTTTTTTACAGAAGATTTAAGAGTTAAGCTGGGCTTTGGAAGATCACCAAGACCTCAGAATTCACTGATCCCTCTTTTTTGTCCCATTAAGTTATCAAAACCCTAACCTTGGGAAAACAGAACTAGCAGCCTTCTCTGTACCTACATGCATTGTGGATACTCCTGGAGAAAAGCAAAAACAAAAACACTATCATGCAGATTAGAGTCTTAAATTCAGGGACTTTATTTTTAATAACCACACATAGAGGAATGAAAAAAAAGTAAAATATGACCCAAAACAGTGAGAATAGGTAAGAGAGTAACAAAGAAGAAAGGCTATGGCATAGCTACATATGCCATAATTATGCCATGCTCCCCCATTCCACCTGAATCCCCGCTTCTAAGACTCAAAAGAAGAGTACCAGAAAGAGGATCCTGACTAGGCTGCCGTCCACCTCCTCGACCCGGGACTTCCACCACGTGCCTTCCCACTCAGTCTTGATCAGCTGGCCACTCTTGAGCAACACCATGGGGCGGTTGGGGTAAGCGGTGATATACTCTTCTATGAAGTCTCGGCAGGAGATGTCTTCTATGTCCTCCCAAGTCTTTTTCACTGTCCCAAGGAAGAAGGAGGGCTGAGAGAGGGCAGGTAGGGCATGTCTTGATAGGGAAAAAGGGTTGACAAGGAGACATTTGGCATTTTTCAAGTTGGGAGGGAGAGAAAAAATAAATGAAGAAACCATAACCTCAAGGGAAGCAAAACCATGACCACTTAAAAGTATTGAACCTAATGTGCAAACGTGCACACAAATTCTGCAGATACTAAATGAATAAGCAGTATGCAAACATAGGTGAGTCACTCATTTCCTAGAAATGGATGTATCCTCTTAGGAAAAGTCAAGTGGAAATTTTTGCTTACTTGATAAGTCTAAAGGTAAATCAAAAAGAATCAGGTGGCACCACAAACTGATTTTAAAAAACCTGTCCTTCCTTCTCAGGCTCCATCAGGCTTTTAAGGGACCCTGAGTGTATTTACTGCCATGTTATGTGGAAACAGCCATTTTATTTGACTTTCCTGCAACTAAAAACAGTTCCATCTATAAGAGTCTCTCCTAAGTCAGAGTCACAAGTATAGAGGACCCTATGAAGACCCCATCTAATACAGGTTCTGTAGAAAGCACTCTGAGAAAGTGCTATGAAGGCACTACACAGACTGCAGATTTACACAAATGTTAAACATGAGACTAGGAAAGAAGTAACATCTTCTCAAACTTAAATCACTCAGAAATGAAATTAAAACACATCTACAATACGTGCATCCACTCAAAGTCAGTCATGGTCTAATGTCTGACTCTATGGCTGCTAAGACCTAACACTAGACATGACAAATAAAACTGTATCTCTCAAAGAACATTAATCAAACTTATGTTCTTTGAGACTAAAACACCAAGAACATTAGGGCTCTTCTACTGGTTGTCTTAAGAAGAAATACAAGATAGAAGAGGAAACAAATAGAGCTAAGGAAAAAAGGAGGGACACTCACGTGGCCGGCAAATGGGATATAGTTCAGACTGTGTAACATAGGAAGCATAGCCATCATCAAAGAAAATGAGAAACCTGTAAGGAAAGAGTGATGGTAGAAAGACTGGGGGTTATGATATTTAACATGACCAGAAATTATTATAGCTTGCATTCCTCTGGATCACACACAAGACACAATCCAGGGAACATGTTCCAGTGTACTACTTTCTTTTTACTATTCTTTCTTCCCACCCCAAGAATTAAGAATTCTCCCTTAGGTTAGCAGATGCAAACTATTATATATAGAATGGATAAACAATAAGGTCCCACTGTATAGCACAGGCAACTATATTCAATATCCTGTAATAATGGAAACGAATATTAGAATTCTCCCTTAATCTAACCAACATATCCCCACTTTCCCAAAAGTGATTTATTCTTGTTATACTATTGGACTCTCACATTGCTGAAAAACATTTAGTCTCCATTTCTTCCTTCTGTATGAATTCTCTATTCCTCTAACCATTAATCAATCTGGATTATTCTGCCCCGACCAAGTTTTCTCCTTGAGAAAAGGGAAAAAAAAGGGGGAAGGGAGCAAGAAAGACCCACCCACATGACTCTGTGGCAAAGAAAAGAGAGAGTTTCCAGCCACTGAGGACTAGGAACACCAGAGCTAACTGTGAGATCTGGACTATGGCTTGAACAGGGCAGATGATGTGCTCCTGGCTTCCACTCTCTTAACAATCTTCTGTCTAGGTACCTGAGCTTGTTTTTGACGTTTGGTGTCTCAGCTACAATGCCAGCATAGAGCCAGACCTGATTCCCATCTTTGTATTTGGCCACTACTCGACTGCCCACATACAACTTGTCAGCAGGAGGGTGGTAATCATAGGCAATGTGGTTTCCTGACAGAAGACTCTTGCCTTTGTTGTCAAATTTCACCTTGTACTTCTTTCCTGGCCCTGAGTAAAAGGGAAAAGAGAAACAAAAATTTTTAAAAACCATCAGTTTCTGTGTGAATCCTGGTTGCTACGTGAGAGACAAAAGCCAAAGGCTGTGAGGAAAACAAACAATCAGTGATGGTGACCTGCAGGTTGTCTTTCATTAGTCCTTCCTCTAGCTTGAACATACCAACCGTCTGGATGGCAATAAGGGTGCCTTTGTGCCATGTCTTAGTTCTCTTTTTGCCGAGGATGCGCATGCTGACGACCAAGTCACCATCTTTGCTCAATTCTCCAGACATTTGACTCAAGGTCCCTAGGAAGAAAGCAAAGTTGCTCTAAAGAGATATGGCACAGATTGGGGAAAGAATGGAAAATAAAAAGGGTACTGGGTTATTGGGACAAATAGGGTAATCTCTGATCCTTAACCACCTTTTCTGCTCCCTTGGCCAAGGGCAGAAATGTAAGACACAGTTGACTCAACTCTTTATGCTAACAGAAAAAATATGAATTGAAATTCACATGTAACTCAAGACCACCTCACTGTAACCAAATATTTCTGACTCCTTATTAACAACATTAACTATTACTCATTAAATGCCAAGCAGCATGGTGGCTCAAGACCATAAAGAATCCACCTGCAATGTGGGAGACCTGGGTTTAATACCTGGGTTAGGAAGATCCCTGGAGGAGGGCATGGCAACCCACTCCAGTATTCTTGCCTGAAGAATCCCCATGGACAGAGGAACACGGCAGGCTACAGGCCATGGGATCACAAAGAGTCTGACATGACTGAGCAACTAAGCACAGCACAGCATTTATAAATCATTTTCCTGGGAGGGATCTCTGAATAGCTGCATTCTACAAACAAAGTTTCCTTCAGACCTCTTTTTTAGAGTTTGAGTTACTGTTTTCTTTAACCTTCATCTGAAAGAAGAAATCATGAGCATGGAGCTAAAAGGTTATTTGGACAAAGCCATCATATGGTAGAAAGCCAGTATACAAACAACTTAAGCCAAGAGACTTCCCCAGTGGTTCAGAGGTTAGGACTCTGCACTTTCAGTGCTGTGGGCCTGGGTTCGATCCCTGGTCAGGGTACTAAGATCCCGCAAGCTGACTGATGCAGCCAAAAACACACACAAAAAAGACTGAAGCAAACAGCAAGGAGAATTTGTGGTATTAACAGAATCCTACAGAGGTAGAGAAGGATGTTGAAATATTAAAACACAGTCAATATTCATGAAACCTCTGCAGGACTTCACCTCTGCACCTATACCAAGATGCCTCCTGACTCTAACCTTTATGTAGATCCTGGGAACTACTCTTCTTGTTGACAGCATCCATGAACTTCTGGACATCTTGAGCCGATTTTCTTAAGGCAGCCATAGCTTCACGGAGCTGTAAAGAAGGGGATGAGGGAGACAAGTTTTAAAATAGTAGCACCGCTTCTTGAGAATAACAACTTGTCTTTTAAAAAACAAAACAGACTGAGTTAACGTTTAGAAGCTTACAGTTACTTCTAGAAGCTTATAGTTACTCTATCAGGCAAAACTTGCCCTTTCTTATAAATCTGGTTCAGAAATCAGCTTTAGGAAGCTTTCCTTGATTAATTAATCTAGTTTATCACTGCCAAATTCCATATTCATACAGCATTCAGTGTATGTATCTATAAGGAGCTTTTGCACTCTTCTAACATCTGTTAGAGAACTGCGACCCATGGGGCTGACTTCAGGGTGACTGGTTATATCTTGATGACTGAACTGACTGAACAGTTAGGCCAAAAATTTCTTCTATCTTCATATTCTTCTCTCTCATCCTTCTTTTACTCATTTCAAGTTACCTTCTGGTCTTTTGGAGTTCTGCTCCCAGCATCACCTAGATGAGAAAAATTGAGTGTAAGGGGTTTATACATAAGAATTTCCAAGAAATCAAGAACCAAGCTGTCATGGGAACACTAATGATAACTATAAACCAGATATAGATACACATAAAAAGTACAAAAAGCATTCAGAAAGATATACAGCAAACAGGTGACAGTTCTTACCTGGGGATAAAGTACTGGTACAGGTGATAGTCTATGGGATCTGGGGTTTTCAAATACTTGAATTTTTATAACAATAATTTTTTATGGGTTATTTGAATGATTTGAAAAATGAAATGTGCCCAGTGAATTAAGCTAAAATGTTTCTTCTTGAGTAGTGCTGTCCAATAGATAATGGGGATGGTTGTACAACCTTGTGAATACACTAAAAATCACTGAATTAAAACATTTTAAAGGGGTTTGTTATGTAAATTAAATCTGATTTTTAAAATTTTTTCGTCAAATTTAAAGGCTTCTGTGATAGCTCAGTTGGTAAAGAATCTGCCTGTAATGCAGGAGACCATGGTTTGATTCCTGCTATGATAGACATATTCTGTTTCTGCACTGTCCAATCTGTTAAAATTTGGCTACTAAGCACATGAAATGAGTTTTAAATTTTACTGAAGTAAGGTAAAAGTTGCTCAGTTGTGCCCAACTCTTTGTGACCCCAAAGACTGTACAGTCTATGGAATTCTCTAGGCCAGAATACTGAAGTGGTAGCCGTTCCCTTCTCCAAAGGATCTTCCCAACCTAGAGCCTGAACCCAGATCTCCCGCATTGCAGGCGGATTCTCTACCAGCTAAGTCACAAGGGAAGTCCAAGAATACTGGAATGGGTAGCCTATCCCTTTTCCAGCGGATTTTCCTGATCTAGGAATCGAACCATGGTCTCTTGCATTGCAGGCAGATTATTTACCAACTGAGCTATCAGGGAATCCTTTAAATTTCACTAAAGAATTAAAAAAATCAGATGTAATTTACATAACAAATTTACTCCTTTAAAATTTTTAATTCAGTGGTTTTTAGTGTATTCACAAGGTTGTACAACCATCACCATTACCTAATTCTATAACATTTTCATCACCCTGAAAATAAATCCCACTAAGTATGGGGTTTCTATTAACAGTCATTCTCCATTCCACCATACCTGCAACCTCCAGCAACTATTAATCTACTATCTGTCTCTACGGATTTGCCTTTTCTGCATACTTCACAAAAATGGAATTATATGTGGTACATCACATGAGATTCATCTATGTTGCAGCATTATTAGCACTTCATTTTTATGATTAATATTCCATTGTATGGCTATACTGTATTTTATTTATCCATTCATCAGTTGATGGACATTTGTGTTATTTACACTTTTTGGCTGTTATGAATAATGTTGATAGGCACATTTGTATATGAGTTTTCAAAAATATTCTGGCTGTGCTGGGTTTTCATTGTGATGCACAAGCTTTCTCTTTCTCTAGTTGCAGTGGGAGGGCACTACACTCTTAATTGTGGTGTATGAGCTTCTCCAAGCGGTAGCTTCTTTTGTTGAAGAACACTGGCTCTAGGGTGCTTAGGCTTCAGTAGCTGCAGGCTCAGCAGGGTGCAGCACACAGGCCTGGTTGCCCCAAGGCATGTGGGATCTTAGTTCCTAGACCAGGGATCAAACCCATGTCCCTTGCATTGGCAGGAGGATTCTTAACTGCTGGACCACCAGGAAGTCCCTATATATGAGTTTTTATGTGGGTATATGTTGTCATTTCTCTTGGATTATGGCTAGGAGTAGAACTGCCAGGCCATAAAGTAACTCAGTGTTTAACCTTTTAGTGAATTGAAAGACTTGTCCAAAGTGGCTGTACCATTTTGCATTCCCATTAGCAATTTTAGAGGGTTCCAATTTCTCCACATCCTTACCAATACTTATATTACTATCTTTTTTCTTAATAGCTAATGATGTTAAACATAATTTCATATATTTATTAGTCATTTACATATCTTCTTTGAAGAAGCATCTATTCAAATATTTTGCCTGTTTTTAAATGTGTTATTTGTCTTTTTATTATTATTATTATTTTATTCCATTTATTTTTATTCATTGGAGGCTAATTACTTTACAATATTGTAGTGGTTTCTGTCATACATTGACATGAATCAGCCATGGATTTACATGTATTCCCCATCCCGATCCCCCCTCCCACCTCCCTCTCCACCCAATCCCTCTGGGTCTTCCCAGTGCACCAGGTCCGAGCACTTGTCTCATGCATCCAGCCTGGGCTGGTGATCTGTTTCACCCTAGATAATATACATGTTTCGATGCTGTTCTCTTGAAACATCCCACCCTCGCCTTCTCCCAGAGTCCACAAGTCTGTTCTGTACATCTGTGTCTCTTTTTCTGTTTTGCATATAGGGTTATCGTTACCATCTTTCTAAATTCCATATATATGTGTTAGTATACTGTAATGGTCTTTATCTTTCTGGCTTACTTCACTCTGTATAATGGGCTCCAGTTTCATCCATCTCATTAGAACTGATTCAAATGAATTCTTTTTAATGGCTGAGTAATAGTCCATGGTGTATATGTACCACAGCTTCCTCATCCATTCATCTGCTGATGGGCATCTAGGTTGCTTCCATGTCCTGGCTATTATAAACAGTGCTGCAATGAACATTGAGGTGCACGTGTCTCTTTCAGATCTGGTCAAATTCTACCAAAAATTTAGAGAAGAGCTAACACCTATCTTACTCAAACTCTTCCAGAAAACTGCAGAAGAAGGCAAACTTCCAAACTCATTCTATGAGGCCACCATCACCCTAATTCCAAAACCAGACAAAGATGCCACAAAAAAAGAAAACTACAGGCCAATATCACTGAAGAACATAGATGCAAAAATCCTTAACAAAACTCTAGCAAACAGAATCCAACAACATATTAAAAAAATCATACACCATGACCAAGTGGGCTTTATCCCAGGAATGCAAGGATTCTTTAATATCCACAAATCAATCAATGTAATACACCACATTAACAAATTGAAAGATAAAAACCATATGATTATCTCAATAGATGCAGAAAAAGCCTTTGACAAAATTCAACACCCATTTATGATTAAAACTCTCCAGAAAGCAGGAATAGAAGGAACATACCTCAACATAATAAAAGCTATATATGACAAACCCACGCATTACCCTCAATGGTGAAAAACTGAAAGCATTTCCCCTAAAATCAGGAACAAGACAAGGGTGCCCACTCTCACCACTACTATTCAACATAGTTTTGGAAGTGTTGGCCACAGCAATCAGAGCAGAAAAAGAAGTAAAAGGAATCCAGATAGGAAAAGAAGTGAAACTCTGTTTGCAGATGACATGATCCTCTACACAGAAAACCCTAAAGACTCTACCAGAAAATTACTAGAGCTAATCAACGAATATAGTAAAGTTGCAGGGTATAAAATGAACACACAGAAATCCCTTGCATTCTTATACACTAACAATGAGAAAACAGAAAGAGAAATTAAGGAAACAATACCATTCACCATTGCAACAAAAAGAATAAAATACTTAGGAGTATATCTACCTAAAGAAACAAAAGACCTATACATAGAAAACTGTCTTTTTATTATTAAGTTTTAAGAGTTACTCATCCATTCTCGAAAATACTAGACTTCACATTTCACATAATTTTTTAATTTTTGGCCCTGCCATGTAGTTTGCAGGATCTTAGTTCCCTGACTAGGGACTGAACCCAGGTTGTCCACAGTGGAAATTCAGCATCCTAAACACCGGACCACTAGGAATTTTCACATTTCACATAATTTAAATAGCCATGTGTGGATGGTGGCTACTGTATTGTACAGTTAAGTTTTAGAGATTTATAACATTTAAAAATGGAGGGCAATGGTGATAATCATTTTGCAATAAACATATATATCAAATCATTATGTCTTACACCTTAAATACTATATTATCAACTATATCTCAATAAAACTGGGAGGGAAAAGTAGCAAAAATAAATAAATAAATGGAAAGCAATGTAAATGACCAAAAATAAAATAAAAACTTAGTGCGACTGTCAAGATAAAAAGTCTATATGCAAAAGTCAACTACATGTCTATATACTACCAAAGCTATTTAGAAATATAGTTTTTTTTTTAAAAGTTAGTGCAAGCTTTCTGTGGAGAAAATCAATCAACCTTAATGAAAAATGTTAAGGACTAAATACATGATCTTTGTGTGGGAGATTTAAATACTATGAAAATTATCAACTATTCCTATATTAATAATCTGATAATGTCAACTGATACTGATATTTTGATAATGTCTATAGTTCTTGGGTTTTTACTGGTGTGTGTGGGGGGAAATAGGGGAACATGAAAAGCTAACTCTCAAATATAAATATAAGCAAAACAGGTGAAAAAGAACCAAGACATCTGTGAAGAATGAGAAAGTGAAGTTATTAGAGTTAACAAATAGAAAAACTTATAAAGTAAGGGATGGACAGTAGAGAGTTGACTTAGTAAGAAATGGTACACCAATGCAACAGAAAATCCAGGAACAAACCCATAGATGTATATGGAAATAATTTATGATAGAGTAGTAGAGACAAACAAAAGTCCATCTAGTCAAAGCTGTGGTTTTTCCAGTAAATGGCAACCCACTCCAGTACCCTTGCCTGGAAAATCTCATGGACGGAGAAGCCTGGTAGGCTACAGCCCATGGAGTCACAAAGAGTTGGACATAACTGAGCAACTTCACTTCATTTTCACATGTATGGATGTGAGACTTGGACTATAAAGAAAGCTGAGCGCTGAAGAATTGATGCTTTTGAACTGTGGTGTTGGAGAAGACTCTTGACAGTCTCTTGGAAAACAAGGAGATCCAACCAGTCCATCCTAAAGGAAATCAGTCCTGAATATTCATTGGAAGGACTGATGCTAAAGTTGAGATTCCAATACTCATGCCCACCTGACGCAAAGAACTGATTCATGTGAAAAGACCCTGAGGCTGGGAAAGATTGAAGGTGG